AGTGCACTACCCGAGCAGGTTGATGAAGGTGTTTTAAATGAGCAACTGAAAAGGTACTCCATAGCCTTTCCACCAAGATTGTGCCGCTTGGGTCTTACTTTCTTGGGGAAAACTGAAATGCCGATTGTCTTTTCTATTGCTTCGCGGCTTAGAAAACTTGATCTCCTTTATGCTATGCTTGACACAGAAGGTCATTGTCTCTTACTACAAAGATGTCCAAACTTGGAAATACTTGCGGTAAAATTTATAATCTTTGTTTATCCTACATTCATGAATAAAATTCTGAAGCTAAGCTAAGTAATTAAACATGATTCTGTCTTAATGAACAGGCAAGAATCGTTATTGGAGATAGAGGATTGGAAGTTTTAGCTCAATTTTGCAAGAGAATGAAAAGGTTAAAGTTCGAGCGTGGAGATGAAAATGAAGAAGCTGAAGGTGTGATTTCACATAAAGGATTAATTGCTCTGTCGCGAGGATGCATTGAATTGGAACACTTGTCACTATATGTATCCGACATTACAAATGCGTCGCTGAAATGTGTGGGCACATACTTGAAAAACCTCCAAAACTTCCGATTGGTCTTGATTGAAAAACAAGAAAAATTCGCAGATTTTCCGCTTGATAATGGAGTTCGATCTCTGTTAATGGGTTGCCATAAACTAAGGAGGTTCGCTCTGTGTCTCCGGCCGGGGGGTTTGACAGATGTAGGTCTCAGCTATATTGGACGGTACAGCCCAAAAGTAAGATGGATGCTTTTGCACTATGTTGGGGAATCAGATAAGGGGATTTTGGAATTTTCCAAAGGCTGCCCTAGCCTCCGAAAGTTAGAAATGTCGGCATGCTGTTTTAGTGAACGTGCGCTGGCGGTTGCTGTACTGCGACTAACTTCTCTGAGGTATTTGTGGGTGACAAACTATAGGATTACGGCAAGTGGTGGGAATCTAATACATATGGTGCGTCCAAACTGGATTACTGAGTTGATTCCTGCAACACAAGCTCCTGTTCATAATGTAAAAGGGGAAGTGCTTGCTCACATTCTAGCATATTATTCACTTGCTGGGCAAAGAACAGATTTGCCGTCTACCATGAGGCATTTGATCCTGAATATCTAAATGGGTATACCATGTTGTTGTTCCCCATTTATAGACATATAATAAATGAATAATGTTATTTGTACATTCCTTGGTGCTGTCTACTATGAGGCATTTGACATGTTGTTCCCCATTTATAGGCATATAATAAGTGAATAATGTTATTTGTACATTTCTTGGTGCCGTCTACTATGAGGCATTTGATACCGAATATCTAAATGCGTATACCATGTTGTTGTTCCCCATTTATAGACATATAATGAGTGAATAATGCTATTTGTACATTCATTAGTGACATCTTTGTCAACATTGTGCGTTGTTAAAATATGTGTCATTGATTATTTTAAGGTCTTGTTTGATTTTCATTTTTTCCAAAATACATTATCTCTCTCTCTTTTCTTTTCAACCACGCATTTTTCATTAAAATAACATTACACGTAAATCAAAAAAAATTCTTATTTTTCGACTACACATTTCTCATCATTGTACTATTCTAAAATGCGTTTTTTCATAAAAATGGAGCTCTATCACCCTCTAACCGTTGTTCAAATGAAGGGCAAAAATGTTAAAATGTTCTTATTTATTTTTCTCACATTTTAAATGCATTCTACGAATATGCAAACAATGATGAGTTTTAACATGGAAATAGATTTATAATACTCTGTGTAACTATTGAATTGACATGTGCACTATTTGAATTCTAATTAAATATGAGCTACAACCTATGATACAAATGTGGGAATGAAGGGAGTAACTTTTTCCAATCATGCTATAGCGTCATAATCATTAACATCTTTGATATAATATCACATGGCGTTCTATTGGATTGTTTAAAACACAATTAGTTTTTCTATCAAATCATCTACTTCCACCTAGGTTTATGTCACTACATGGTAAAATTCATCTAGCAAAGTTGCAAAATTCAATTTTTTTCCCTATATATATAAACCCCAAACTCCCTCCGTTATCGAGTTTTCTACCAAGCTAACAAACCAACAAATCCCCCAGGCACCATGCCTCTCTTTTTCAACACGCGCGTGTTCCACTTCCTCCTCAAAGTTCATCTCCTCCTACTCTCCACCGCCGTCTCCAGCACAATCGCTACATCAGTTGGCATAACTTACAACCCATCTACGGCGAAACTCCCATCGCCCGACCATGTGTCCTCCTCCATCTAGTCACTCCACTTCCCCTCTGTCCACCTCTTTGACCCACCCCTCTCTCCATCAGCACCTTTGCTTATACCAACATTACCCTAGTCCTTTGGATCTCCAACCACCTCATCCCCTCATTTGTCGCCAATCACTCCGCCGCCTCCGCCTAGATTTTGATGCGAACCCACGTAACAATAGTAGCTAATAAACCCACACAAGATTTATTCAACCCCAAGAAAGTTAAAATCCCGATTTGAAGCTTGACACAATAATTTATTAAATCAAAGAATCAAGACAATTGCAAACAATATTTTGACCCCATGATTACAAAAAATATGAACCTTGATATGAATTTGTTGAAAACTAAAAAGAGTATGGATCTTTGATAAGTTTGGATAGTTTGAATGCCACAAATATTGAAAATATTTGTAAATTCTGTTCAATTATGAACAAGATAGAAAGTAAAAAATTTCACATTATGATTAATTCTCAAAAAAATAATGTCTTCATTATACAATGAATGAGCCTTTTATCAACAGAAAATAAACTTTTAATCAAAACAAAACTCTACTTCTAAAGACAAATTCAAATAAAATAGAAAACTACAACAAATAAAATAAAATACTACAAATAACGAAAATACCCTTAAAATAATTCAAAATTTAATATAGTCATCCAATAAACTTGTGCAGAATCGAAAGAAGTTTCTGGATTGTACTCATGGGCGAAAATTCAACAACAAAGCATAATGTTATATGCATTTTTATGCATCCTGTGAATTTTCATGCATACTTTTTATATTCCTTACATTTTTTTAAATTAGTTTAGGATCTTTTCTTTTAATTGATTCGTACTACTCTGGATATGCAATGGATCCTTATTAGCATACCCTTCATGATTCTCATCAGATTTACTCGCACGTCCTCCCTTACCACCCACTTCCCCCTCATCTCCGTTTAAGAATAGCAATGGAACGAGCTGAGTCAGCTCAGCCCTTTAACCCACGATCTCGACTCCTCGTCATTTGACGAGCCTGAGCCGCCCACGAGTCGAGCGATCGAGCTGCTCGACCCGTTTGACATTCCATGACGAGCTTGAGCCGCCCACGAGTCGAGCGATCGAGCCGACGAGCTGCTCGACCCGTTTGACATTCCTATCTCCGTCGGCTCCGATGTCATCTCCTCGGCCAACGATGACTTCGCCATTGACCCCTCCGCTGTTCTTCCTGCCATGCGCAACCTCTACTTATCGCTTCATGAACTCAACATTCGCACCATATCTCTTCATGAACTCGCCCTATCATGACGACCCTCCTTAGTCCTTCCTCCGCTGAGTTCCAAGGGCCCATCAATTCTTTGATCATCAGACCATTGTTGCAGTTCCTCGATAAAATCAACTCTTCCTTCAATATTTACCCCGACAACGTTTATAGAATCAAATCCAAAATCCCAATTGGTTATGCTCTGTTCCAAGAAAACCCACACAGTTTCTGGGATGGCATTAAAATTTTGAAGCACTTCAATAGGCCCTTTATATTTAACACTTAATTTTATTACTTATAAAAAATATTTATTGTTTTTTTTCATCTTTAATTTTAACAAACTTTTATCTAGATAATTAGCTCTTTAAATATAAAATGCTCTCTATTTTAAAGGCTCTTCAATTTTCAATGTTGAAAAATAATAAAATAATCTAAAGAAAAGTTAATTAAAATAAAAGATAGAGAAAAATAATAAATATTTTTTGGAAGTAGTAAAATTAAGTGTTAAATATTAAAAGTTCGCTAGAGTATTTCAAAATTTTAACTTTCTAAATTTATATATACTTTTTCAAATGATAGAATATGCGCTTTAAAAATAAAGAATCTCTTGGAAATCTCTTATATTATTTTCCTAGATTGAGATTAAAGTACTTTGAATGCATTTAATTATAGAGAGTGAGTTTGACTCTCCAAATTAACATGAGTCAAATCTATTTTCTAAATTAAAATGTTAATTTAAAAAATCTCTTTAAACTTGATTTGAAGAGTTGACTTTAAAAAGTCTTTTAAAAATGTTCTGAGTACAAAAGATAGATTTCTCACATTCAGAAAGGAATTTTTGGAAAAGATAAAGAATCGGTAGAGATAGTTCTTGGATTGCACCTATTGGTTGCTGCTGTTTTGCTGCCTCAGTAAAATGGTAAAATTGATATCTTGACAGTGACCCGTCCTATTTATGTTAGCATGCGAAAAGATTAATCGAGTGTGATTTATAATGATTTTTTTTTTCTCCAAACAAAAATGCTGTCAGTAAATAGAATTAATCTGAGTGAATTTCATTTACTGCTACTGAAGTTTCAGCTAAATCTCGATTGGCTTCATATACTTTAATTGGTTTTAATTAAATCAATAGATTTCAAATTTTATCACTTTATCACATTATATCTCCGAAAATTGATGAAAAATACTTGCCCCAACCATACAGCAACAAATCTATTGTGTAACTTACCATTACGCCACGAGAAGATAAGCGTATATATATATATTTTAACTTCTTAACTCCAAGGCATTGTCATAATCCTTATTTTACTGTTTTCTTTTTAGGGTGTCATGTAGAACATTATTTACGGCATGATTGTCTGCAACTAAACAATTTCTGCTAGTTTGTGGGGGCGATCGGTGATGATAAATGATAAAGTTTGAAATTTAAAACTAAATTAAAGTTAAGTGATTTAATTGAGATTTAGATTAAAGCTCAGTTGCCATGAAATTTTTTATCCAAAGTAATATAAACTTCCACTTTTAATCCGCTTTCGCACGAGACGAGTCAAAGTGGGAGCCAAATGCGTTTCCGGCGAAGATATTCTTGTCTTTTCTTTCACCATCACTATCATTAGTATACATCATCATCCGCTACGCTGCATCTCTGTCTATATATGCACACATTATACATACACGCGCCAGTTTTTATTTTTGCTCCTCAGACTTTTCTTTGTTCTAGATTTGATAAATCCAAGAAGCGTACAGATCAAGATTTCTTGATTCTCTTTCTTCTTCAAGGTATATAAAGTTTTTAACCAATGATTTCATTCAACTACTTGCTATAATTTGTTGATCCGGGTGTTTTCCATTTGTGCTGAGACCAATAATTTCCTCTCTCTCTCTCTTCAATTTACTGGGTGATCTCATCCCACATTTTTCATTTACAGGCAGGGCACTAGTCATTTTGGTTTTTTCAGAGTTAAGCATAAACCCATCAAGAAGAGAGGGAAAATTATAGTGTGAAAGATCAGATCGTATAGTTTGTGGAGCCATGTCTTTCACTGGGACACAACAGAAATGCAAGGCCTGTGAAAGGACAGTTTATCCAGTGGAGCTGTTGTCTGCTGATGGAGTGGATTATCACAAGTCTTGCTTCAAATGCACTCACTGCAAAGGAACCCTTAAGGTATCTAACATTTTTTTACTGATTTCCGAATGATTGCAAAAGTTTTGAACTTTTATGGCCGATGGTGTATTTTGTTTTATGATTTATTCATAGGTTCGTTAAAGTTTCTTCTTCATTGGTTTGTATTGGGTATAGAGGGAAAGTCTCCACTGACAGTAAATAGCTCTGACATTCAGTAAAATGTAGCTAAGAACAGTGTATTTATTAATTTAAGAGAATAATCCAGACTTGTCCTAATGTGGGAACAATTTCTGCAGATAGAAGTTATAAATTTGCCTAAGTAAAGTTGGTTTGAGAGGTCGAAATTTTTTGGTAGCTTATTGCGGATCCCATGCTATCCCCAAAAATCCGTAACCCAGTTGGTTTTTACTGTTGTCAAAGATTTGAAGAATGAAAAAAGATGGCCAGCTATTGAATTAATCAGTTCATGAATTTGAGTTGAGTTATGATATATAGAGCTGTAACACTTTGAAAAATTACTCTGGCACTGTAATTTTCCATAAAAAATTGTTCTTGAGGTTTTCTTATTTTTTTCCTTTTTCAGCTGAGCAATTACTCGTCAATGGAAGGTGTTCTCTACTGCAAGCCGCATTTTGAACAGCTCTTCAAGGAGACAGGCAGTTTCAGCAAGAATTTTCTGACACGTATGCCTTCTCTGTCGTGACCTGACTTTTTTAGCCCTCAAAAATTAGTTATTAATTGCTTTTTTAACAATTCATTTCATTTTCCACAGCTGAGAAGTCAACTCCAGAGATGGTATGTTTTTCTCCAGCTATGTGTATCTTTATTTAAAAAATGAAAAGATTTTGCTTGATATGCAAAAAAATGACTACCATACAGGACAAGCAATTTAACAGTAATGACTTGTGTGACGTTGGCAGGTGTAAAAAATGACTAAATATCCATACTGCCAACATCAATATTTTCGCCTCTAAATTTTAATCTTTCCTATGAATATCCAGACAAGATCACCAAGCAAAGCTGCTGGCATGTTCTCAGGAACACAAGATAAATGTGCTACTTGTGGTAAAACAGCTTACCCTCTTGAGAAGGTATGACAGATTTCTATAAATGGTTTTTTGGTACAGCTTTATTTGAAAATTTATCCAATTTCTTAATTGGCTAGGTTGTGTAGTCCAGATTGTGTTTCAGGGCTCGTGTTTTACATTGTAAATTCCCTAGTTGCGATTTGGAAGATAGATTTTTCAGTCTACATGGTAGTTTGCAGCCAATTGTCTGTGCTGGTTGATCTTTTTCTGTTTCTGTTTCTCTTGAATTGCTTAATTATTAACACTTAAAACTTGATTACACTAAAGAAGGGCATAATCAATGTTCTACCATGACTTGGTTCCGGTCTGAATACGGTGGGAAATTCATTACCACTTCGAAGATAAATTGATGGAGATCAAGATAGAGATAAAGATATAGATAGAGTTTTAGATAGGATTTCAAATTATAGTGTACTTCAAAATATTTTAATTTGATTATATTAGTTTTAATAATTCAATAAAGTTCTAGCATATTAGAAGTTTACTAGTTTTGATTATTTGCTCCATAAATAAAGGACTTATTCATTGCAATATTCAACCTTGATATATGAATAAATTGATATCTTCTTTTGCCACCAATTCTCTTCTTTGCACCCGTTTCTTTTCTTAATCTTCAGTTATTTGTTGTCAAATATATGTTCCTGCATCATATATACTTGAAGACCATGTTTGGTACACTATTAAAACAGTACTATATAGGATAATACTTTTTAATCTATTTAATTTCTGCAAATTGTCTAGTAACATAAAGGTTTTTAGACCAACATCACCTATTTGCTGCTGCAGATTGAGTTTCAGAAGGGATATAATTTTTATCCCTGCTAATATCACAAACACCTGGAAAGAAAAAGGGCACTAGATGCATTTAGATATGATTTGATGTTTCCTACGTTCAATACAAGAAGAAAATGCTTTGGCATATGCTAACCAATTCGTTCTCTATTTCGAAAGAGAACAATTTGGTAAAATTGCAGTCAGCGATGAAAGCAGATTTTTGTATTAAGAATTTGAATTTAATTTTGGCTGAATAGCTGCTAATGGGATGAGTAGTGATAGGTTGATCTGAGTAATTAGACATTGGCTATATATTTAGTATGGAGGATTGCACAATACTAGACAATATTAAAAAAGAAAAAGAAATTGAAATCTTGTTCATTTTACTCATCATCTTGTCTAGTATACTACATATTAAACATGCACCAGGTAGTTTTATTAGAACAGCTGTGTTTTAAAGTACTACTGTTCTTTCATGGTTGCGGTTGGGATTTGGATACTGCTTCAGTTTTTGCATCAATACTTGATTTACTTTCAAGTGCTGTAAATCACTGGATCGCATGTAATTACTTGCAAGAATCGGGTAGCTTAGATTATTTGTTACAGTTTCCATCAATATTTCTACCTGAGAAACATGTATGCAAATATGCTGCAGGTGACAGTGGAAAACCAAAGCTATCACAAGTCTTGTTTCAAGTGTGCACATGGTGGATGCTCTCTAACTCCATCAAACTATGCAGCCCTAGACGGCATTTTGTACTGTAAACCGCATTTTTCCCAGCTGTTTAAAGAAAAAGGCAGCTATAACCATTTAATCAAGTCTGCATCCATGAAGCACCCTACAGCCACTGTTCCAGATTCTTGAACTCTGTTTCTTTACTTATTATCTATCTACACGTCATGTGCTTTTTCGGGTTTTATTTTGTTTTTATTCTCTTGGATCACCCTACAGGTCAACTAGAGATGTTCGATTATTTACTGTGTTCTGTTTATGTATCTGCAAAGTGTAATTTGTCATTTGATTATGTTATGAGATGTTTCAGATTTTCAATCTGTGACTTGTGGAGTTTGATTATGTTATGAAATTTTTTTCTCTCGTTTGTACATGGATTATTACTGCTTGGTTAAAAAAATTGGGCATGCTTGTCTAAGCTTGGAAGATAAATTGATGGAGATCAAGATAGAGATATAGAAATATTGAAGGTGTACTATCAAAATTATTTGCAGGTTTCAACTTGGACTAAGAAATTTATACGTAACTTTTACGCTTAATCAAACCCGCTCTTATTACTTTATTAGAGGTGTAATGGCTGTAAGGGCTCGATGCTGTCCCGTGTCACATCGTGTCTAAACAGTAATCATTGGTCTGCATTTCGCGTGGACAATGTTCTTAAAGATTTCTGACCTTCCTACGATTTTTCTTTTACAGCCACCCGCAGAAATGGGCTGCCATGGCCAGGCATGTTCAGGTCTCATGGGGTCTTACTGAATTGCTATTACCTTGACCCAATTTGGTTTGGACCGAGCTACTTGTACCCGGGTATTTACACCCCCTCATATGGAGAGTGGGCCCAGCGCATTATAACCTGGGTACAAATGAAATTTCCCATTTGGTTTTCACTATATTTTATACAATCATAAAACTTGGCAGTTTGACCTTTAATCACCTGAAACTAGAAGGCTGGCTTACCTGTTTAGTCCAACAGAAATGCAAGCAATATAATCAGTTAACCCACTAGTTAAGGATTCCCACAAATTGGTACAAGTGTCTTTCATCGATTAACCAATATAAGAAAAAATTTGAATAAAATACTATGTCAACTTGGTTCTACAATCCTTTCCTGAAAGAATACAAGGGACTAACTAAAAAGGGCTCTTTTTTGTCCTCCATAACCCCAAACTAAGGCATTGAGTCGTTTATTAAAATTCTTGTATGGCTAATATTCTGGAGTGCATTGCTGGTACAGGTTGAAGCCTCTTAACGGGCTTCTGGAAAAAAGAAGAACGTATTTTTGAAGGAAAAATCCATACACGAAACGCAAGAAGAAGATCCGAACTTGCCTCTGGAAGGTTGCACCTCACTTTTATGTAATAGTATAGATGAATATCAACTTTAGAGACTGATCTCTCGTCTACTCCGCTTTTTGGCTTCGCTATAGAGTATAACACCAATGACTGTGAGAGAGTACCCTAGCATTCCAGTAACAGAGACGGGATTCCTAAATATTAATATTGAAATAACCACTGCAACAGCACCTTTTGCATTTCCTAGAACCTGGAAAAAAAAAAATGTAATGGCTTAACAATATATCATTTTGTGCTAATCAAGCGAAAAAGTACCTTTAAGCCACTAGTTAACAAATCTAATCCATAATGGCCAAATTTTATTTTTAAATGAATTGGATTAATCACAAACACAGATGAGAATTATGACAGAAATAGAGTTCGAGGACCCAAAATTGTTTCAATCATTGACAGTACGCTTCAGACCATAGAATGTTTTGTATATCTTCTAGACAGAGCAAAAATAATGGAGCTTTTACTAAATTCCACGTCTTCTTTACACCAAGTCCAGTGCATTTTTCTCTAGCCGTTCATGCATGAGGAAAATGAATATGACAACGTGAAGCTGGGTCAATCAACAATATATTCGGCAAACTTGATGCTTTGTTGTCACTTGTCAGTGAATTTAGTCCATCTCAAAGCAGAAATTTTACAAAGTTTGAAAGTCTTCACCTTCAGTGCAACAAGAATCACTTTTGACTTTCCTACATTTCCTAAAAGTAATATTTGTACTAAACTATGTAGCCTCAGGACAACTATAACAGAATAGAAAACAGCAATTGCTCATTATTTATATAGTTTGTTTTCAAAAATAAATAAACTAAGGTGGTTTAGTTAATCAAAATCGAGCCTCAACAACAGCATTTATCGTAAGCAATGTAATTACAACAAAGAGATGCTAAGGTTAGAGGTAGAAACAAACTCAACTAGGATTGAGAAAGTAAGGAGAAATCAACGCTTATGATCAAAAAGAAGTTGCTCAAAATTATTCAGATTGGAGGGACATTTCAATCAATAGGAATGTACATGTGTTACGTCGGAATATTATCTCATTGTTCTTATATTTTGCACAACGATCTTAGAGTTTATACTATATTGAATAGAAAATAGATTCCTGCAGCAAGATAGACAAGGGCAATTGGGCATCGTGTAACATAATTCCATTAAGTAGAAAGAAATTGTTAGCACGAGTGGGTGTTTGTACGGTATATTTAACTTCCTTCAACAAACTTAAAAATGGACATCATAATCTAGATTGTTTGTCTAAATTATATGAAAACTAGAAATAGGATAGAAACCTAGCTAGAAATGTCTCTACAGCTCAAAAGCTGCTGTTATATCTTTTCACTATATTCTTTTATGAATATTTTCATGTCCATCAGCATTTTTTCTAAATACAGCACATACTGCTGCTCTTCATTCACACACCTTACTGTGAAATATAGTCAGTCCTACTCTTTTGTTTATTAATATAAAAATTATAATTGTTTTGGTTTCAACTATATGCTGAATAAATTTATTTGCAAATTCAACTTCGAGAAGGATTTAGTTAGGACTAGGAATTAAAGGAGTTACCTGAAGAGTCAAAGCACTGGTGTGTTTTGTGACCAAAAAATTGGTCAAGTTTACAAAATATGCAAGTGCAGAATTGAATAGCAGTAACCAGACAATATTGATATCATCCCTTGCAAGTGCCAATGTGATGCCAACAACGTTTTCTTCCATAAAGAGTGTTGCCGGGAGTAGCAGCACCACAGCAATAGGAGCCATGTACAAGAGCAGATTCATAGAATTGAGCTTTTCCCTTTAAAAATAACAAAACTTTAAGAAATAATATATAATTTTTTCACATGTAAAGGCAAGAAACTCCAGTTAAATTTCACCAGAATAAATATTACACAGATAGACAACTACTTACCCTTCAGAAGAAAGCAAAATCCCTTGAAGCACTGATTTAAGTGCCCTCGCAGCTGTTGCAGCAACACACACTATAAATCCAAATAGATGGAAACTTGGCTCACCCTAACATGATGGAAAGAGAAAAAAATCAGTAACGTAATTGATTTCACCTCTAGTATCATAGCAACAGGAATTTAGCAGTAAAATGAATTGCATGCACGATCAAGAGCAAACAGGTGGTTAAATAACAGAGGTGAGTCAGAGTTATTTTCTTGTGAATCTCGTAAAGCTTGGAAGATGAGTAGAATTTCATCATGAATACATGATCAACTTAATCAACAAGTTTTTAAACAATTTTTCCAACAGTACGAGTAACCAAGCAAGCCAATGAACAAAACCATAATTGGCTCCCTCAAATTACTTCCCGGAACTTCAATTAGACGAATCAAAACACATAAAGATCAGACAAAAAGCATCATACCAGATCCAGATTGTGTAATAGAAAACCAAAACAAATAAAGACACATTCAATTCAACAAAACAGCATCACAATCTAGCAAACAACGAAAATGAAACATATCTCCATAATCCAAACAAAATGTAAATGCATACCCCGCTGGCAATCACGACTCCTGTGACAACTGGAATCAAAGTCACATAAGTCAACCATGCCTCCCTTTTAAACGTCATCAAATACGCAAATACGGCAGTAAAAAAGGGGGTGGTTGCCCCAATCGCCTGGTTAAAGCTCACAGGCAAATACCTAAGCGAAATGTTCCCGCTAACAACAGACCCGCAAAACACAAGACTCAAAGCTGAGATCTTCATTAGCTGAACTCTAGATCTTATGGTCTGCATCGGGACCATCTTCATCCACGCGATCGCAATGTAGCTGAACAACGAGCAAGCCGTCATGTGGCACATGGTCAAGAAAATCGGATACTTGAATCCATAATTGCTCAACAAATATTTGTTCAATAGCAATACCCCAATGTTTGATGAGTACCATGCTGTTACTAATCCAACCGTGAAAAATCGGCTCGATGAATATGATTTCATCGCCGACATCTTGTTTCAATACAATAAATCCCACAAACAGAAACTCTTCAAAATTATCTGTATAAATTCAAAAACTGATAATTAACAAAAGAAAGTTATTAAAAATAAGAGATCTGCAACGCATTTGCGATGCTTCTACGAAATTGAGCGGGTCTGATTAATTTTCATCACACTGTATCAAAAAATCTGGAAAAAAAAATATTAAAATTTCCCTCTGTGTAAAATGTAGAGACGACCGACGAAAAATATGCAGAGAGAGAGAGAGAACGCGGAGAGAGGGTTCGAATCCTGTGCAGTCACTTATTATTAATAATAGTACAATAATAATATTAGCAGTACAAGCGTAATCTACAAAAATGGCAGGAATTTATAGGAATAATTGAAAGTGGAAGGGTTCATTTTGTTGTTTTCATTTGTTATAATAAGAAAAATTGTAATATTCTATTGGTCCTCGCTCATTAATATCATAGTAAGTTAGTATTTAATCTTTAAAAAGAAGTAAATTGGTCTATATCATTCACTATGATTTCAGTATTAGTCCTCATCACGAAAATCATCCTAATATTCAGGTGATCCTTCTATGTCCAGTTTTATAAAACCTAGATTTTACTTCTCTAATAAAAACAATACTAATTTGAAGAAGTTTGACTTTCGACCGGAATCAAACTATATTTTGATAAAGTTATGAGAATTTTCGTATTTTACAAATGTACAGTTATAAATAAATGATGAGGCCAACATGATATTGAAGTATCGAGTTGGGTGCAACTGTATAATTGTTGTTTTGTCAATGGTTATACTTTAAAGAAAAAGGAAAAGAATCGAAAAGTTAGTGAGTAGATGTGCAAATAATCGTTCAAAGTTGGTCTGTATTAAAAGTAAAGTGGAAGCTTTGACTATTTGACGGGGTACGAACTTTGGTAATCACATGAAAAAGTCAAATTTTAGTGGGAATTATACGAGAATTAGAACATAAACCACCATAAAAAATGATAGAATAGGAGTGGTCTAAATCGTAGAGAAAGGGGTAGCTGTGGTCAAAATTAGGCGAACACAATTGCGAGAAATTGGACATTGTGACAACCGGTACGTAACGTTGGATCTAATGTGACATAGAATATTGTTTTCAATTGATATATATACATATAATGAATTAATTTGCTAGCCCGAAATTTGTCGTCTTTATATTCTATAATTTAGCCGATATCATGATATCATTGTAAAGAAATAGCTTTAGCTTCTAACTCTCATATAATGCTATTGTAATTTATATTCACTTTTTATGTAAAAGTTGATCAATTGAATAGATCTGAGGATTTGTTCGGTAGCGATTTTAAAAATTGATTTTTTGATCATTAGAAAGAAAAGTCGATCCTACCCGTGAGAGAAGAAGTACAAAATTATGGTTGGAATAGTGAAATAACGAACAAAAAATTAATTTTTTAGAGAGAAAAATCACTACCAAACATAGACTAAATCAACCTCAATTTGAATCAATTTGAGGTTTCTAATTCAAGTGACAAATGGAAAAATCTCGCAAGCTCTCATTCAGCTTCGACCCTTACCTTGCAAAAAAATAATTTTCTTCCCTTTTGTATTGATTTTTTTTTAATACACAGGTTTTCATATACAATTATTGCAATATCGGTCATTTCAAAATAAACGGGTTCTAAGTTCAAGGTACCCAGCCCATAAATTATAGGACACGTAAAGATAAAAGTGTTCAAACTTTTACTTAAATGCAAAGACAATCGTCTAAATCTAAATATCTAACTTCTTTAAACTTTAGATCTAAGTAGTGTTAAACTTATTCTCGACTTATTTATTTGCTAAAAATTTGACTAACAAATTAAAAGAAACATTGATATTATTCAAATTAAAAGAAACGTTGATATTAAAAGAACTTGCAATTTCTTTGGTACATTAGAAGAAGCCACAAATAAAAATTTAGGTTGCCGTGAACCCTTTATAAATAGTCAATGCTTGCGTACACATTCTCAGAACAAAACGCGCCGATCGAGAATAATTACTATCATAAACTTTATATTCTTGCACTCAAAAACCAGGACTTTATATTATTGCGGACTACCATTACTATTTATGAAACACTCACTGTTTGAAAGTTTGATTATGACTTCCTAACTTGAAGTGTCTGGATCTGCTCCAGATTCAAGGGTCAGCATTTTTCAAAATTAAGGGAAGGGTGTAAATCCACACTTGGAAGTCAATAATCTGATTGAAATTGAATGACACTAAAGGTGTGTTTGATTACATTTGTTTTCCATGGAACATATCAATTTTCCACCCAAATTCCTACTTGAAGTGTTTGATTGCTATTTTTTTCCATAGAAAACATTTTTCAACTTTTGAAAATATACCTAATTTTTCTTGTTTTTAAGGAAAACATTTTCCTTGGGTAGAGGTGGTTTTTATTTTCCACAAAAGATGGAAAATATTTTCTTTTCTAGGTGATATTTTCCATGTCAATCAAACACACTCTAATTGTCAATATTTATCACAAGTTCAATTCTTTATAATAGACACACACAACAAAAATGAAATCACTGGCATGATTCGAGATAGCACTAAAAATTCAACTCTTGTAAAGAAATCATACAATTGCTAATGACTTCAACAGAGAATATGAACCTTCTCAAGCCACCTATGACTTCACTCCCTTCTGCAGCGTCCATAGCGCAAAGAGGAGAAGTTGAAACAATTTCAATGCAATGGCAATGATGTGAAGATAATAAAGTTCCAGTTCTAGCAAATTATCGTATGGCAACAAAGATAAGCTTAAAAGACAAACCATAGCAGACAAAAGTAATTACTCAAGAACATTTCCAGTGGCTTGGCAATACCAATTAATGTAAAATCCAAGTGAACCAGAAGAGTTAGAACATAGGAAGACTGTTGGGTATTTTTTGGTAAGTGATACCCAAATCCCCTAGGCTATGATGAAAAATCGAGGCCCGTTTTAACTTCATAGGCTATAAGCCCAGGATTGAAGAATTAAATCCACACCACAATTGAAGTAGCCCAATTATGTTGGGTATTTAGAGGTAATCAGCCCATTGGGTTAGATGCCCAATACCCAACTTGGAGGGAATTTGAAATTCACATGAAAGATGGATAAATATTATCATTATCTTTATCAAACCAATTTTATCTCATTTTGTTGGATGAGCTCTATCTTTCAGTTTGGATATAATCTTGCAGTTTTTATTCAATCTAATCTTGAAGACTCCTGTGAAATTCATTCACTCCTATAAGCCTATAAATAGGAGACTCTTCCCTCCCATTAAACACACCAAAAACGAGAGCCAAAAACAAGAGGAAGAAAAACTTCCCTGCTTAGTGCAAATCAATCTTCTCTTGCCTTTTCTTTGTGAATCTGTCTATGTGACTGATAATGGCCTTCAAATTGGAGATACCTTTGTGGTGTGGATCAAGTTTCTGAGCCGAATCATAAAGGGGAAAACCGTTCCTTTTATTTTCAGATTTTTGGTCTTGATTTTCTTCAATTTACTTTGCAAATCCTTACACTAATCAATTGTTTTGGTTAATTTGTAGGTGGGTTTGCTTCTCAATTGGTATCAGAGCTTAGTGGTGGTGAAAATCCAGCCAAAAACCGACCAGAAACCGGCAGAAAAGCAGAAAAAACGGACTGCCCAGTTTTTGCACTAAAAACCGAACCTGCAAACGCGTTTTCCCGTCAATCCAGAAGTCCATTGGTGAAACGGAGACCGGGGTTGAGACGTGCAGGCGAAGGCGGTGCTGGGTGCTCGGCGCGTGATTCCGGCGGCGGCACATGGAGATTCCGGTGGAGGCGCGTGGAGCTGATTCCGGCGAAACTGTCTTCAGGAAGTTTGTTCCTCTTGTCATTTCTAACATTTTTCGTGTTGGAAGTTTTCTGTTTCAGGTTACGTAGAAAAAGTTGAACGATTTTGCCCTTGGTGGTCGCTGGTCTGATCTGCAGTACATTTACTGAATTACTTTAGGCCAAGATTGCGGTCCTAAAGCAGTAAATTCGCATCTCTCGTAGCTTACGGACTCAGAAAAGTCCGCTCTGGTAAATTGGCTGAAACTTTTAAATTATCGCAATAGCAGATCATCGTGTGGGGTGATCATTAGGATTGGGGGTTGTCATTGCTTGACAACCATTACTTGATGCTAGAATCTAGGATTACTTGCCAATATTTGTTTAACTTCTAAGTGAAATTATTTATTGTGTTTAGAATTTGTTGAACGTTGTTGCGTTTTAAATCTCATATTATTTAGACTTGTACCCGGACTCCTATTCTAGTTTCTTCCCTTGACCTGAGAACGTGATTCTCACGGAATCATGGGGTTCTAGAAATAGAGTATTATTGTGAAACCATAGGATTTCTTGTTACTTTGTGTAATCTGTGTAACCTGTGATCTTTTACATATCGAATTTTGTGTTCTGTGCATTTTTGAGTAAGATGTCGACACATCACTTTGAGTTGGGTGTCTTTAATGGTAAAGGAGATTTTTCAATTTGGCAACAGAAAATGAAAGGCATTCTTGTTCAACAAAAAGTTTCTAAAGCAATTGATGATTCTTTTCCTGCAACTTTGACTGATGAAGAAAAAGAAAATTTGGATGAATTGGCATATACTTCTATAATTTTACACTTGTCTGATGCGGTATTAAGAAAAGTTGGTAAATTAAAATCAGCTCAAGAACTTTGGGAAAAATTGGAGGAACTTTATGTTTCGAAGTCCACTCCAAACAAACTTTTTCTACTTGAAAGCTTTTTTAGTTTCAAAATTGATTCTTCAAAAGATTTGGATGACAATTTAGATATTTTCAATAAACTTGTGCAAGATATCAATAACTGTGGTGAAAAAGTATCTGAAGAATATAAGGCTATCATTTTGTTAAATGCTATACCTGATACTTATAGAGAGGTTAAAAGTGCTATTAAATACGGGAGAGATACTTTAACACCTGAAATTGTTATAGACTCGTTAAGAAGTAAAGATATGGAATTGCGAGCCGAAAGAGTCGAGAGAAAAAGTGGTGAGGTTCATATGATGAGAGGTAGGTCTCAGTCTAGAACTCATGATAACCAAAGTGGATACGCATTCGGTAGTAAAAAGAAGAGTAGAAGTTTATCTAGGTCAAAAGGTAAATCTAAAGGTAGAAAATGTTATGAGTGCGGTAAAACTGGACATTTTATTAAAGAATGTTATGCTGAGAAAAACAAACAAAAAGAAAAGGTTCACGATGAGGCAAATGTTATTACTTCGTTTGATGAATGTTG